TTTGCCTCTTAAAAGAGTCAGCTACTCAGATCTGCCCCAGCTATACTAATTCCTTGTCTGAACTCCTATAACATTCTCACTTTGAAGCACATAATCTACTAAATTCTCTGAATTCCTATAATAGTCCCAGTTTGGAGCACATAACATACTATTTTAAAGTTGATCTCTAGTTGTTTTGTACATGCAAATTTTATCAGAGTCAAAAGCAAGGCTGTTGAATCCTTTGAATCCCTCACAGCTCTTTTTTTTTCCCCAGTACCTGACACAGAAAAACAATCACTTAAGGAAGCATTTATTTGAGGTTTAACATGAAATCTACAAATAAAACTTGTATAAACACAAGTCCATATTGAATCATAACACAGATAGCAAAAGACAAAGTAAAAACAAAACTAATTGTTGGCTATATACAGTTGGACACAGTTGTGTCTTGTATACTAGAAAGTCTTTAATAAAATAATCACCTTAGAGCAACAGAAGACCAATCTTCAATGCTGTCCTGCAGATGGGTCACTTTAGCAATCTCCTTCAGTTTTCTCCGATGTCCTCTAGTATGGCTGGTAATTGCTGTGGTGATTGCCACCAGACCCCTAGTACCACCTGGTCCACCAGCTGCAGCCTCTCTTCCTCCTCTTTGTTATTATTGCTGCCTATATACTTTTTTTGGTTGGGCACTTTGATTTCATACTTCCCAGAACCAAACGGATGATAGCTGCTTTCTAATAATTTCCTCGCTGGTTCTCATCTGAATATGTGATAAAACAAAAACCTCTTCATTTGTTTTTGCATCCACGGGAAAGTTCAATATTTTCAACCCCTCCAAAGGCTCCAAAATATTCTGTTCTTCAGAAGTATCTGGGCTCAATCCACCCCAAAAAACCTTTTTGGGAGCTCCTTCTCTTTTAAAGCTTTGGCCCTTTGGGGTCTATCAATTTGCCATCCAGTTTGTGTTCTTTCCATTCTAAAATCTCATCCACACTAGCAGCGTTTTTGAAAAGCACAAATCCAAATCCCCTTGACCTTCCGGTGACTGGATCTGTTTTAATTGTGCCGTCTACAACTTCCCCACATCGAGATAAATATTCAGTTAGATCCTTCTTGCTTGTATCCCAGCTCAAGTCTCCAGTCAGCCCGCTGATTCTTGCTCGTGTTGATCTCCATGGTGGCCAAGTTCCTGGCTGGGGGTGCTGGTGCGCGGTTAGGGTCGGTGCCAGGAAGCGCTGTATGGAGCTGGGTTTAAAATGGTGGCGGGAGACTCACAGCTCTTAAAACAGTGCTTGGTGTGCACAGAGGAAGTTCACACACTGGACTTGAATTCCATTGCCTTTCCCAGCAGACCTTACTTTAGGAAATGGAATGCCGTGTCTTCCTTACCCATCTCAATACATCCCTTCAAGTCCAAACTAAGTCCTCTCTACCATCACGGATGCCCATTTAGAGAAGTGAAGATAAAAGCAATGACCACATAAAACTTTATTCCTTGTTTTCTCATATTTAGTACACATACTTGAAACAACTTTACCCTTGATCAGGTGGCAAAGGAGCTATCATTTTCTGTGTTTCCTTTCTCCCCACCCAGAGGTAATGTGAATGAAGGAGCATTCCATGGCATGTTCCCTAGCACTTGACACAGGTGTTCTGTGCATGGTGAGCACTAAAATTTCTTGTAATCAATGTTTTCCAGAATGCAAAATCTCATGGCATTTAACTTTTCTTAAAATGACACATTGCAATAATTCCAAACATTTCTACCCACATATAGGTAAGTAAAGTAAAAGCCCAACAAGCTCTTTACAAGTTTTGTATTGTGTCAAACTGTCTTCATATACAAGAGCGTAAGTGAAAAATCTCTCTCCCTTTGCCTCCCCAAACATCACAGACCAATTCTTGCTAATATATCATGAAGTTAAAACATATTTCCCTTTCTGAATTATAGTTAATTCTAGACACTAGCTTCTAAATTTTGTAACTTACCAATCTAGTAGGGCATGAATACTTCCAGTGCTTTTCAACTTGTCCCTGAATTTTTCTCTCTTCAAAGTTCCAGGCAGTAATTGATTTTAAATGCCCTCAAATTGGATAAAGCTGACTACTTAGAGCTTATAAATTACATGCACTATAAATATATCCTTCAAACTAGCACCATGAAGAGAATTCTCAATACTAATTGATGGGCTAATTAATCCAACAATCAAATATATAACAGTGATAGTCTTTTTTGATTTTTATTTTGAGAGGACATTTATTAAAGCTGGGGACAGTGAAACAAGGAAGGGCTTGGGGGAGAAGCAGCAACAGGAGAGCCTAGGCAAAGCTGCTGCTGGCTCACTGGGAGGTAAAAGTCAGTGACCGAAGTGAGCCAAGAAGGAGCTGCTGCTGACTTACTGAAAAGTCAGAGAAAAGGGGGCTTTGGAGACAGGTTTGGGGATTAGCCCGGGATGAGCTGCAGCTGCCCATTGCTCCGCTGGTTGCAAGTCTCATAGGGACGGTTAGAGTTTACAAGAGGCACACCTGAGAGGGAAGAAAGGCGTGGGCGTGCTCCTGAAAGGGAAAGCCCTGGCAATGATAGTCTTAAAAACACTAATTTGTTATTTTTCTTATATACAACTCAAATTCCCTCCTGTATTACATACTTTTCTTTCTGGCAATGTTCTCTGCTACCTTGTCTATCCCAAATAATTATATAGCTAGCTGTCCACTTCTTGGTTGATGCTCTTAACATTTCCCCTAGGTCATTAGTAATGAGTGCTAAGGCATTCAACTTAAAAGGCTCTAGGCTGGTTTAAATATGGTGAAATACTGTTAAAACAGAATTGTACTGCATTTATTTTCTACCTTCATGCCTCTCCATGAACCAGTCTATGGTTCCTGTAAGATTGTCCTGCAAAATTTGAATTCTGGGCCTTTTACTTTTGAATGGCTTCAGTACCATAAAACATACTTATTTGGTAGCAAAAACATTTCCAGGAGTTTCAAAAGGAACCACTACTCAGCTCAAAAAGTTACAACTATTATTTTTCTTTCAACTTGGAACATACAGCATTGATTATAAGGAAAAATACAACCCTGTCCTTCTGCCTGCAAATAAAAAGGACACAGTAAGTTGAGCTATGTGCTTTTTAAGAGGCACTACACAAAGTCCTGTTCTTAGGGGTTGAAGTGGACAAGAACACTGCTTCAGTGATATGTAATGTTCAACATATGCCACATTACTTAGCATTTATGCACTTAATCTTCACACATAACCAGTTCAGATATCAAAACAATCCTGATTCTAAGAGAGAATTCCACCAACATTTAAAGCTGTTTCTTCCCAGGACAATAGATTATCAAAGTGGTATTCTCTTATGCTAAGCTTTGTCAAGGCTCAGAAACTGTGAGGTGAACTTTGCAAAGTCCTTGTAAAGAAATCTTCAATAAGAAACTCAACGTATGGGAATTTTAAAGCTTCAAGACTGGCTCGTTAAACATAAATACCACAGGCTTTCTCAGAGCACCGAGTCTAGTGATTGTCAGTGTCAAGGAGGCACATACACAATTTTACTCAAACTCCTGAGGTCTCTTCTCTGTATGGAAAATGCAGTCAGTCTGACAAAGGGCCTAACAACATTTTGCCAGGCCTAGCTCTTCTAAAGAGCACAGGGAATACCCAAGGTAATCTACAGATTCAATGCAATCCCTATTAAAATACCAACGGCATATTTCACAGAGCTAGAACAAATACTCCAAAAATTTATATGGAATCAAAAAAGACCCCAAATAGCCGCAGCAATTTCGAGAAAGAAAAATAAAGGTGGAGGAATCACAATAGCAGATTTCAAGTTATACTACAAAGCCACCGTAATCAGAACAGCCTGGTAATGGCACAAGAACAGGCATATAGATCAATGGAACAGAACAGAGACCCCAGAAATCGACCCAAGCCATTATACTCAATATTTGACAAAGGAGACAAGAGCATACAATGGAGTCAAGACAGTCTCTTCAATAAATGGTGTTGGGAAAACTGGACAGATACATGCAAAAAAATGAAACTAGACCACCAACTTACACCATACACAAGAATAAACTCAAAATGGATAAAAGACTTAAATGTAAGTCGTGAAACCATAAAAATCCTAGAAGAAACCACAGGCGGCAAAATCTCAGACATCTCTCATGGCAATAGGTTTACAGATACATCTCCTAGGGCAAAGGAAACTAAGGACAAAATAAACAAATGGGACTACATCAAAATAAAAAGCTTCTGCACAGCAAGAGAAACCATCAACAAAACGAAAAGGGAGCCCACTGTATGGGAGAACATATTTGGCAATAAACATCTGATAAAGGGTTAATATCCAAAATGTATAAGGAACTCATACAACTTAACAAAAGGAAGACAAACAATCCAATTAAAAAATGGGCAAAGAATCTAAATAGACACTTCTCCAAAGAGGACATACAGATGGCCAAGAGACATATGAAAAAATGCTCAAAGTCACTACTCATCTGAGAGATGCAAATCAAAACGACAATGAGGTACCATTTCACGCCTGTCAGAAAGGCTATCATCAACAAATCAACAAGTGATTAAGTACTGGCGAGGATGTGGAGAAAAGGGAACCCTCATACACTGCTGGTGGGAATGCAGACTGGTGTAACCATTATGGAAAACAATATGGAGTTTCCTCAAAAAGTTAAATATGGAACTGCCATTTAACACAGTGATCACACTTCTAGGAATATATCCTAAGAAACCTGAAGCACCAATCAGAAAGAATGTATGCACCCCTATGTTCAATTTACAATAGCTAAGATCTGGAAACAGCCCAATTTACAAATACCTAAGATCTGGAAACAGCCCAAGTGCCCAACAGTAGATGAGTGGATAAAAAAGCTATAGTAAATTTATACCATGGAATACTATGCAACAGTAAGAAAGAAGAATCTCTTATCCTTTCAGACAGCATGGAGGGACCTGGAGAGTATCATACTCTCCATAAGTGAAATAAGTCAGTCAGAGAAAGACAAGTATCACATGATTGCACTCATATGTGGACTCTAAGTAACAAAACAACAACAACAACAAAGTTTGAAGACCATTGATCTTGACCACAGATCTCCTCGGTGTACTTACAATCTGGTCCAGGTACTGAGGAACACTACCATTTCACACATAAAAACAAGGCTGACATGCAAAATAAAATGTCCGTGGTCACTGCTCTCTAGGCCCTGGATGTTCAGCAAATGCTAACAAATGAGAACCGAGTAAACCATTTTTCCCATGCTATTCTTTTATCTCTAAAGACACTGAATGTAGCTATGTCTACCACACTGTGTGTTTCAGGAAAACAGTAACACAAAATACAGCTTTTAAGATAAATAAACGTGCCACAAGAAAAAAAAAAAATAAAGAGCACAGGGATGCTAAGGGATAAGTGCATCTCTGGGGGAAAAATAAACCTCTACAAGGCAATGGCTGTTCTAACTAAGGATTTAAATTAAATGAGTTTGGAATCCAGTAATGGTTCCCTAAGTGTTTACCTTTGAAGGTAAAGAAAAGTCCAAACCCTGAAACAAAGAGTAAAAGAAGCTCATAGGAGAACCCTTCATTACATTTTACATGCTTCTGTTTGTTCTCACCCTTCCTAGTACATTTCTTAGAAAAGCCAGGTGCATAGTGGGAACACTGTTCTGACCCAACTGTTTTTCTAGCCAAGTTCCTGTAAATATATGGCCTACTTCCCCAAATCTCATCACTCCATGATCTGCAACAGGAGTCAGTTCCACAGCTATTTGCTGAACTTCAGCACCGGTCTCTTTAGCACTGGTTTCCCTATAAGATTTTTGTTCTGTTTCCAGGAAGCACAGTGTGAATAGAAAAGACGGAGGTCCTTCGCTGGGACAGTCCCAGGAAACTGAAGTGAAAAGATAATGTGGAGTAGTGCATGGCAAAAAATTCCTCTTATGAGCTTAGTCCAACACATGGTATACATATTCCCCTGGATATAAACAATTTACATTAATTAATTAATCAGCAACAGAACCCAAAACTATGGGAGATCAAATTCTAATGTGACAATTTAAAAGCAGAAAGTGCTCCACTGGGTTAATAAATCAGAATTAGCTAAGAGACAATATATTAAATACCACATCATTGAAAACTCCTAGTAGGCATGTCCCCTTCATCAGTTACTTTAAAAATAACGGTCATAACAGGAGAGAGAGCAAGCACCATGCTCACTAATGCAGGTTACTGGACTGCTTTGATTAAGCACTGCAGTTCACACGTAAACACTTCACAACTTCAAGTTACTGAATCTTTCTTCTTCCGGAATGGCGATTTTAGCCTCTTCCATACACTGTTTTTGGGTTTCGATTTTTTCTCCATGGCCAGTACTGCCTCCTTTTCTTTCCTACGTATCTCCCGGACAAGGGCATGGAATACATCATCAATGTAGTAGCGGTATGCAGCAGATGTCTCAAAAAAGGGACAGCTGAATTCTCGGGCCAAAGCCAATCCTTCTTCTTTAGTGACCTTTAAAAATGTAAACAGAGAAAATGTGTAGTAGTACAAGTGGAAAACAATTACAACTACCCCAAATGAAGGAGCTACCTTAACAGGAAGAGAGCTTCTCAACTCTGGAGGTATTCAAGCAGATGCAGTGATTTTTGTAATGTTGGGAGGCTAAATTACATGAGTTCTGATTCCTTCTGCCTTCAAATTCTGTGAATCTATTTCTACTCTATTTTAAAGATAATCCTTTGCAACAGGCAACAGTTATACATATCAACAGTGCAATCTGCATTTTCTTCATACTTTTCATTTTAAGGATGTAAAACACGAGGCAAACAGATGTATATTTAAACTACAATACTGAAAACTGTAAGGAACCAAAAATTGATATACTCAATTATGGATATACCATAATTTCTCCTACTTTTGGGTATTTAGGCTTTTTCTAATTTTTGGCTACCATAAATAGCCTGGCAATAAACATTTTACATACAAATCTCTGAATAAACGTTTCAAAGTCAAATTACTAGTACTTCCAACAATTTGTACCATTCATTGTTTCCAGTAGTAGCCATGAGTGTGCCCGTTTCACTACACCTTCAGAAACTCTACACTGAACAGCAAAATGTTAAACATCATTGCTAACTTGAAAGGTATGGCTTATTCTAAAATCCCCTACAATTTCTCTTATTCTCCCCTTCCAGGGCTCATAATCCTCACCACCGGGAAGTATATCTTCAAGTCTAATTTTAGTTTCTCCTGATGCAACATAAACATTTCTGATGTTTTAGGAATTGAACATTCCACGATCCTTCATTTAATACATATTCTATGCCATCTGATTACTATCCTGTGGATTTTGTCCTGTAAACTGATTCCTGAAATCCAGATTTTGATCCCAAATTATTATATAACAGGAAATTTTCAAGGTTAGGGAGAAGCTAATTTTTAATTTTTACTTTCAGACAGAGGAATCTGTAAACAGAAAAACAAAAATGACTAATCCCATTAGGTTTCAGACAGCATTTTCAACTCCGTCCTCACCTGTCTTAGCTGCTTTAGATCAGACTTGTTTCCTACAAGAACCACAGGTGTATCATCAGTACGTCGAACTCGATAAATAAGCTGTTTAAACTCCCGAACTTCGTGAAAACTTCGACGATCGGTGATAGAGTAACAGATGATAAACCCTTCTCCTGCCCTCATATACTGATCTCGCATGGCTGTAAACTCTGCCTGGAGGGAAACAAGGGTCATTAATGTAATGATGCAACCTAGAACCACATATATATTAGCTATTTATTTCAGATTAAGGAAGAGATATATCGATTACCTGCTATCCTGAGTGAGAGTGCATGAAAAATTAAAAGACATGAACTAGTGATATTCTCTGCATAAGCCTTCCCCCCTCCTTTACTAGAGTGAAAATGTCTTATTCATAGCATTCTGGGATTAGATACCTGTCCAGCCGTATCCAAAATATCCAGATTGGCAGGCTCATCATCAATACGGATCCGGATTTTATAAGCATCTTCTACAGAAAGGAAGAAAGGTGTACTGTGACCCCATAAACACAGGAATATGCAACCCTTCTTTAAAATCCATCTTATGGAAAAGCAGATTACGTTAAGTTCTTTAAGTGTCCACATTTTCTCTGGCAGTATGCTAAGTCTATTGAGATTCATAAAGTGGGTCTTCAACTAAATTTATTTTTTCACTTAAGCAGTGATGTAAGTTTATTCATAGCTTAAGTTTATAAGATCTCAACTACAATTCTAAGTTAAAACGGATTCTGAGATCATTTTAAAAAAATATTAGGCCAAAAAGTAACTTTACCACTTATTAAATGCAGGCATTACATTAAGTAATTTATATACATTAACTCATTCTATAATAATCCAACAAGGTATTATTATCTCCATTTTACAGATTTAAAAAGTTAAACTCTAAAAATTAAATCTCCCTACATTAAACATTAATTAATGATATAGCCAGAATTAAAACCCAGGGCTGGCTTGACTCAAAAGCAATATACTATAGTTCCTCCTCATTTTAATACTATAGAAAAGAGAAAAAATTCTAAATAATCCAGTGTCACTGATTTCTCCTTTATGGAAGCAAATTTTTTTTTTTTTTAAACATCAATGATGAGAGAGAATCACTGACTGGCTGTCTCCTGCCCGCCCCCCACGGGGGATCAAGCCTGCAACCCAGGCATGTGCCCTTGGCCGGAATCAACCTGGGACCCTTCAATCTGCAGGCTGACGCTCTATCCACTGAGCCAAGCCGGGCAGGGCAGCAAATTTTTTTATGCATATTATTGCAGTAACCTTGGAAAATACAGGAAATTTAAAAAGAGAGAAAAAATACTTAATATGTTCACCATTCAAACAATTGTTGCTTATATCCCGATGTATTTTCTTTTTTTTTTTTTAAATATATTTTATTGATTTTTTACAGAGAGGAAGGGAGAGGGATAGAGAGTTAGAAACATCGATGAGAGAGAAACATCGATTCAGCTGCCTCCTGCACGCACCCTACTGGGGATGTGCCCGCAACCCAGGTACATGCCCTTGACCGGAATCGAACCCGGGACCCTTCAGTCCACAGGCCTACGCTCTATCCGTTGAGCCAAACCAGCTAGGGCCCGGTGTATTTTCTTATCAAAATTTTTTCTTGAACCCCTGCTTCTGACTCTTCCTCAAAAGTGAAGAGCCGACTAAATCAATATTTCTCAAACTACAGGACATGATCCATTAGGATTAGTGAATTACGAATGAATTTAATGAGTTGGGACCAGCATTAAAATAAACAAGCAGAAACCTTAAATAAAAAAGAAAATACCAGACTGTACCACATATAGTGAGGTAAGTACAGTTTCATGAATTTTAATTACATGTGCATATGGGTGCACACACACATACTTAATATGTGTACTAGTTACTAGCAGCCACCGTTTAAAACAAAATGTACTAAATTATAAACTCAGTGGGAACAGACACCATATCTTTTTGCTCATCCTCTCTACTCTCAGGGCCTACCACATTGCTGGGACATAACAGGAACTCAAGTGACATCGTATTTACTGGTGAATCAGTTAATATTGTCAAGAAAGTCTCTGATTGAAAAAAAGAACAATCAATGGGGGGAATTTTTTTGGAATTCTAATTACCCTGATCCCTAACTCGGTTTTATTCCTAGAATTTCCACCAGAGTTTGAACCTCTGAACAATGTTCTAACTTTAATACAGTACACGGAAAAGCAAGCACTGTTTCCATTTCCCTCACCCACAACAGTTACCTACTATACGAAATGACCACATCCAAAGCTGGGTTAGCACAGACACTCGGTGGCTTTGTGGAGAACAGGGCAGCAGAGGCCTGACTCAATTGAAATCCTTCCTGGAGACCCAGGACCATGACTAAGTGTCACATCCTGAAAACACGAGCAGCAGGGCAGACCTGTGCTCTCCCCTACCCTGGCCCCTTTCATCCTGAGATATAACCCTTAGGTCCAATCTGTCTCCTTATGGTTTATGAACAACAGTAATATTCTTAGTCTTTGTAGAGAAAGGCAAATCTTTTTAAAAGGTGAAATAGTTACTTTTTATTCTAAGAGCATTTTGCCAATAGAGCATTAAGGATTACAAAAGGCATGAAGGAAGACCTTACTGTTTAGTGAACTTGAACTACAAGGAAGTAAGTGAGGAGCTTGCGAGTGGAAGTCCAGGCCCTGGAGAGCCGGACTGTAAGCGTTCGGCAGGCTGGCTCTACTTGTTTTTCTGCTTCCTTTTGTGGAAGTTCAAACCAGCTGACTCATAGTTAGAGAGTCAGCCTCAAGTCAGACCCTTAGAGAACTGACAGCAAAAGGTTTCTGTTAAGTGGCCTTTAAACTTTTCCTTTAATCCAGCAATGCAGTAGAGCCATAAAAACAGGACAAAGAAAGTGTCCCATTCATGTCCAATAAAAGACAGAGCCTAACAATGGCTTATATCCAAACAGAGTTAAATGAGGAAAAGAAAAATGCATTTGCTCACCCACTGCTCTGATCCTCTTCTTAAATCAATCTGAATTAGACACCAAAAGAGGCTCAAACTATAGTTAAAACCCTGTTTTAAAGACGGACACCAAGGCACTTGTATGGGTTCTTTAGACACCTGCGGGGCAGTCCGACTTACCGATGGTGGGGTCATGATCTTCCGGGAACCGGTGGCTGATGAACTGCATGGTCATGGCTTCGAAAGAAGAAAGTGAAGTTAGAACTCACACCGGGTGACCGGCCACAGAGAGAATCTAAGCGCCGCCGGCCTGACAGCCCGGCTCCCATGGGGTTCGCGCGGAGGGCCGGTGTTTTAAGAAATGTCCACCCCTCGCTTCCCGCCACGGGGGGGAGGGAATGCACCTACCGCTCTTCCCCACGCCGCCGGCGCCCAGCATCAC